CCCCAAAACCCCAAAACCCCAAAACCCCGCTATAAGAGGTTATCCTAGATACCTAGATAATAATAATATTGTTTTAATTTTATTTAAAGTATTTGAATCTATCAAGTGAAATTCAAGTTAATTATAATCATTTAATTGCTTCTATTGAAATTAAAATCATGCGAATTAAGAGGACTGAATAAAGCATTACGGTATCAGAGATACCATTTGATTCACCCATGCCCTCAGAGAGAGCTTCGATAATGCAAGAGACCGAGAAAGATAATGAACAAATTCTTAATCCTCCCTAAGATGAAACTGTTGCAATTGTTGATGAGTAAGAGTTAAAGCAAATAAACTAAATGAACGAGACAGAGTAAAACTTCAACTAAACTGAGGATATCTAAGATATAAATGCAATTTATCATACTGAGAACATCCAACCTTAAATAATAGATGATCAAGCAATATATTAGTAATTAGACGATCATGACATTGTTGAATAAGAGTACAATGCAGGTGAATAGGATAACTTTTTATTGTCTTCACCAGAATTTAACGAGGGTAGTCCTATGACAATGTAAAACTAGAAGCCTAGTAAAGATAGAAGAATTCATAAGGATGGCAGATCTGGCTACAAAGGTGGTCAACTAAGGCTCGTCTATCAAACAAAGAAAGAGAAATATATACAAGATGGCTCTGAGATGATTCAAGTTTAGAGAGAGGTAAAGCAGCAAGAGGAAAAAATAAGAGCCTTATAAACCAGAATAAAGGCATTATAAAGATAAGAGGAGAAGTCAACAAAGAGAGTCTAAGAGGTTTAAGTCAAACTATCAGCAAATTAAAATACTAATCAGACTCTTTCTGAGATAAAATCCAGAACTGCGTTACATGATGATAATAAGGGCGAAGAAGCTAAAAAAAAGAAGGAAAAGGTTAGTGAAATGAGGCTCAAATTAGCAGAGAGCAAAGAGAAGCTGAAGAATGATATTAAGCTAATTAATAGTCTTAAGAGACAAACATATATTACGAACCAAATCGAATTGGACTAGAAGATGAGGGAGAATCAATTGCTATTGAGAATGGAGAAGGAACAAAAGATCTAGGAGATCAAAGCCTAGAAAGAAAGAGCTGCTTAAAAGAGAAATTAACAAGAAATCTAATTCCTTGGTAGAATCTAACACCAATATCACAAAGAAAAGGATTAAAAAGTTAAATATAAGGAAGAACAAGAAGAATTAATTGCTAGACTTGAATTGGAAGAATCAAAATTGCTTGAGAGTATAAAAAACACTCAAAGTTTAGAATAGCAGTTATAGATTCGGGATTTCAACAAAGCATTTGGTGCTGATCAAATGTCTCAGGTTAATTACTCACCAAATAGCTACAACAGAAACTAGGGAATGAATTCATCCCATCTGGGCAGAATCTTCTAGACACCTAAAACACTGAATGATGCTAATAATATTAAAAGCTTAAGAAGTAGTGGTGTAAGTACAGGAGGTAGCATTATTTAACCGAGATAAAACATAAAGAGTGCTAAAGCTTAACACTAGTAAACTGATCAAGAAAAGGCACCCTTTTATCATAGAAGGGAATCAGCCACAAGCAATACTAAGACTGAAGCAAAATCAACTAGAACTACTTTAACCAATTAACCAAAGAGATAGTAACCCACTATTTCACTTCAAAGCTCTCCCTAACTTATGATTAATAAGCCTTAAGCTAACAGTCAGTAGAATTTGATCAAGCCAAGAAACAAGACCTTACTAGCTTCTAGGTCTATTGAAGAAAATAAAACGATGTTTACTTAGAGAAATATGCATCAATCACCTGACTAGCAATCCATCAGAAAGGCAGATACCTCAATAACTAAAGATAAGAATCCACTATATAAAACCAATTGTGTAACATCACCAAAAAGAATATAATATAACAGCAAGATGGATTTCAGTAGTCCAACTACAACTGGAGGTGGATCTAAACCTATTGGTATTTATAAGAAGCATACTACCTTAAAGCCAAGACAACTGATTGATTCCAAGACTATGCTAAGACAATCTGAGCAAAATGAGTAGAAAACTGACACAGCTGAGTCTGAGGTGATGTTCGAAAAAAGAAGACTAAACATAGAAACAAGAAGAAGATCTAATGGATCGAGTAAAGCATCAGTGAAAACTTAGCAGATGCTAGATAGTATGCATTAGAATGTTGGTGGAGATGCAAAGATGTTCTAATCAGCAGCCAGTGCTAAGACTATTTCATAAAAGAAAAATGCCAATAATCCACAGATGAGAGCAGTGGCTACTACTCTCGGCCTCAGAAAGAGTAAAGATTACAGTCAACTGCAACAAATTAAACCAAACAGATAACAAATTGAATAAATTCAAATCTAAGCTTAAAGATCTTAATCTTTAACAAAGACAAATAGACCTCAAACAAACACCAAAATAGCAAGAATTAACTAAGCCAATACAAGATAGAATGAGAATCAACTAGATCTGAGCACTAATTAAAATGACAGCTCATAAGTTTAAAATCAAGAACAGCTATTAATGCATGAGCAAAGAAACTCTTCCTAAGTTAACCTAAAATCTGGTTAAAATACATAGTAGCTAGAATAAAATGAAAAAAAATATAACCTTAAGAAAACTAAGTAAAATCTGTGAAAAAATTGAGCCTAACTAATAAATGATAATTTAAGAGTATTACACATTAATGAGATTTACACAAGGTTATTTATGCTTTTTAATATATTTATAAGCCTTAAAATAAATCAAATTTTTGAATCGTGGGGTTTTGGGGTTTTGGGGTTTTGGGG